TCCATGTTTCTTTGAAAGGTGAGCTTGACAGCTCATTCTTGTCCTCCCTGCAAGGTCCACTTACTTGCTAGCTCTGGGGCTTTTGACCGTGTCACATGACAATGTCAAGCGCAACTTTATCACACAGACAAGAATCTACAATTACACGACAACTGAGCAAACTCCATATGCGGATGAAGACCATTTGATGTGGTTGAAAACTGCTGTTTCAGATATTTTTGGTAAATGTTTACCTTCATCATGGACTAGACCTTAATAGCAAAAAAAGCCTAAATTAATTTGGATGACAGGCCAGGAGGACCTGTATAGAGAAATCAGTATGGATCACTTTCTCCATGCTTGTGTTGTGTGGTTCTTTGCCACATGGGTGCACTGTTTGATTTCACATTTCACCCTGCTGCCTGATGCTTTCTGTTTACCTCCTCTCAAGGCTCAATTACCAACCAGGCAAAGCAGACAGCTGTCCTGGGTCCTCAGGACTCTGAGTCCCTGAAAGCTCTCCGCTTACTGGTTTGTGCTTTTTTAACTGAAAGTTTAATTGGGAATATGCGACATTAAAGAACAATACAAACCTGTCTTGCATTTCTGTATCATTATCTAGTGTTAAAACCTTATTATTTCAGTATTGTGGTATGGCACATTCCTTAATTAATGTGTTAAATCGAATTACTACACAGTAACCCAGGGTTCAGGTAATATTATTAATAAAACTGTACATATGGTAGTGGGAACAACAGGGGGAGATGCCTCAGTAGTTTAAGTTTTGTCCTCAGGCAAGTTATTCTAGTCTTTCTTAAGCAAACACTCCTGTCTGAACTTAAAGACCTCTAAATGTCACACGTTAATTGTAACCTTTCATACCATTTATAAAAAAATATCCAAAGATTAGTTTGTTGTTTGCAAAAAAAGACAGACTGTTCAGTCTTGTCTCACTGAGGAGGCACATTTGTTGAGTTTGATCATGGCCTTGATGTGAATGTGTGACTCAGACACTGTGACTCACTTACTCCCAGTAAACAACAGAGAATATACTTTTTACTCTCACTGCTTGTGCACAACTCATCTTTTTAAAACCAGTAGACACAGATACAGTTCTGCCCATTAAAAAAGAACCATGCGTGAATTATGTGTGTGATCACAGAGCAGGTACAAATGCAAGGCACATTCTTTCCTTCAAGAAAATATATATTGCTCTTAGTGTTCACCATATAACCTGACAGAGTTCATTGTTTGATCTCCTTGCAGAAACAGACAGGGCCCTGTCCTCTTTGCGCTGTGTGAAGAATCCAGTTTGTTTGAGGTAACTGCAGTTAAATGTCTTACATAATCTTCTGAGGACTGGTTTCATTTTTGCAGTGGGCAAATGCACCAGTAGGTACTGTCAGTGCAGTAATGCTGCTGCATGTTGCCCAACCAGTCTGGTTTACCTCACAGGTTGCTGTGCTGCTGTATAAAACAATTGCATGAATTGACCAATTACTGTAGCATTTTAGTGAGAATAATACAGATATAAGCTTTATAATAAGATTTTTATTATTATTATTTGGAGGTGTTATTAAGGCAGGCGGCACGGTGGTGCAGTGGTTAGCCTCACAGTAAGAAGGTCGAGGGTTCAAACCCTGGTTGCCCCGGCCTTTCTGTGTGGCGTATGTTCTCCCAATGAGTGATTATTTGTCTATGTGTGGCCCTGCGATGGACTGTACCCTGCCTTTCGCCCGATGTCAGCTGGGATTGGCTCAAGCCCCCCTCAACCCTGTACACAGTATAAGCGGTTGACGATGGATGGTATTATTAAGGGCTTTAAGGGCTTTCATAGTCATTTAACTACTGATGTTAATCTGTATTTTGTAATCAAACTGTCTGGTCGATGTAATGCATTCAGCCTAACACCTCAGCAACAAATACTGCCTTTATGAATGTTTTGTCCACCTACACTGTTAGCATTGTAGTAGGCTATTTATAAGTTAATTATCTGTTTACCTGAGCCTGTGCAGAATCACAGGTGTTTATTGCCCTCCAGCGGTCAGAGGGAGGAGCTGCAACACTAAATTAAATTCGCACTGTGTTGATATCGGTGAAATCTGGATTAAAATATGTATCGATATGTAGCCTACAGCTCATTATTGGAGTGTTTGTTTCAAATAACAACAGGCGCAAAAGTGCTGGTAATACGTGTAGCCTATTAACAAAAAGCTTTTTTAATGTGGAGACCATAGGTCGAGTGACCAGTGATAGAAATGATGATAAGGGTAAATTGATGTAGCACATGGACACTTCCGCTAAATACTTTCAAAATAAAGCGACCAAACTGACTCAATCATAAACATAAAAGATCATATTTAATGTTCTTTTGTTGTCATAGTGAGAGACAACAACTCCACGGTCTTAATGGGAATAATACAAATGTTTATGTTTATTATCAGCATTTTTTAAAAGGCATGAATAAGATAATTCATTGTCATGTTATTGTTAGTAGGCTACAAACACATAAGCAACTGGAAATGTGGGTGTGGTGTTCATCCAATGGGCTGAAATGTCACAGACATCGCATCATCACTGTCAATTTGATAAGCATCAACTGGAAACATAAACTGATTCTGTGCAATTCAGAAGCTGGTCACTGTCTGTCAAATCTTATTTCTTCAGCAGAAGTTGAACCAGAGTCCTTTGCTGTGAGGCATGTGTTGGATTTATCTATCTTTATTAGGCTACCCCTCGTGTTTTCAGTTTGTAGGCCTGTAAGTTATTTACAGGGATTTCTAGGGATAAGAGCATATATACAAAACACAACATAACAAGGCTGGTCAGTAGTGTAAGATATCTGGTTTTCACTGCTGTATCGTGTAAAATAGCACTTGCATGTCAATGTATTCATCATTTCAAGACATTTTGTACACTGCTGGCAGAGAAGTCAGACATTCGAACTCCTCAGTGAGGAAGTATCAGGAAAAAAAAGGTTTGATACCCTTCTCTGCATTTCCCACCACCTCTCCGCTTCTTTCCCACACTTCCTTCCCCCACCATTTCAATCCTTTAACACTCTGTTTTGTTCCCTCCTACAGCTCTCAGTGGCTGACATGTACTCACACAAAGATCTCTCATTCACTTTCCCTGGAGTAAATGTCAGAGACAACTGCCAGGGGGACAAAATATGAACTGCTGGCAGGCTATGTGGCCCTTACATACATGCACAGCACCATGAATTGATTTGTCAGCTCCAAGCCTGAGCCTGGGACTATTAAATGTGTTTTGAGAAAGTTAGAGTCAAAGCTTTAACGAAGGAGGACAGAAAAAAGAAAGAAAGCCCAAAGTCTTTAATTGGCAAAGCATTTCCAGGGACTGTTAAATGTCTCAGCCAACGCTACTTACAAGAACAAGCAGCTTTTTCACTAGCATCCAATTAGAGTGGGTTTGCAGTAACTTGTATATTCACAGTATGTAGCCCCCTGATTAGTCTTCTCAGCCTGCAGATTAAATACAGTGGAGAACATTGCTCGCCTGCGCACAGGCCTGTTAATCGGCAACCAGCTGTGACGACCTTTATCAGCTGTCATGAGAACAGGACCATGAAACAGACCACATTACTGCAGGAAAAGAGGCACAGGGAAAAGCTTTGTGTATAGATAATGTGCATTATTGAAAGTGAATTTATCTCCTTCAAAAGGTAAACGTGAATATTGAAGATCAAGCTCATATTGGCTTCACGTCACTAATTTCTACTAAAACTGTGTATTTTTCAGAGAAAATGCTCCATCAGGAATGATGTAAGTGGAAAATTTAAATTTAAGCTTTGCTTTTGTTGGCAATGCATTTCTAAGTCCGCTGTATGACTCATCTCTGGCTGCAGTGTATATTGTTGTGCGTGTGAGAGGTGAAGGCAGGCAGCCGAGGTAAGCTATGTGGAACTGAAACCATCTGGTTTTCTCCTCACCACAGTGAACAGTAATGACCCTGACCACCACACACACACACACACACACACCTGTGTGTTGTTACTGTAACCATCTCATCCCATTGTCATGGTAGAGCACATGGCCGTATGGTCTTTGTGTATTTGTTTCTGGTGACAAGTTGAGATATTGTCCAAAATAAGTCAAACACCACCTGATGGCCTACACTTCCAAACAAAACTGCAGAACTTTTATTACTCATCAATTGTACCATAATTGTTTTAAGCAGTGTGGACCACATAGTATTTCAATAACGATAGCTCAGCTACAGAGAAGACTGAGAGCAGCAATGACCAGCCAGAATAAATCTTGTATCTTAGTTACTACTTAGCTTAGCAACTTAACTTTTAAGATACACAGACATAGATACATTACTATATTTGCTAATAATTTGACGATAGAAATGCCTTTATTAAACCTGTATAATGATTGATAGATAACATGGGCTGGTTATAATCTTACAGTTGTCGGCATATGTATGTTGACCTTTTATTTAAAACATTCTCTTGACTTTGTATTTCTTTATTCATGGTGTTGACATGGCTGCCAGATATGCAGTTTAAATGGTTTTATAAATGGTGGATGAGGAATTGGTGATGGAGTTAGACTTAGACAAGGAAAACCTAGACTATCACTAAATGATCACAGAATTTCCTCAGCTTATTAAGGATCAAATCAGAAGGCTGCCCCCAACTATCAACCCAGTCCAGCAAAACCATGTGGAGGTGTTAGATGGCCAAAGCCACAACACAGCCACAGCAGAGAGGACAACAGGTCAAGCAAAGAGTGTCAGATCTACCTAACTAAAAGTGACAGTAAACAGTTTAAAATGCAATATCCAAGTGTACAATGATGCATAGCCAGAAACGGGTTTTAAAATGTGTTAAAACGACAAATAAACCTTACAAATATTCAAAAAATTAAAAAAAATTATTTAATCTTATATTTATTATTACAGCAACAACAATTGACTAATTTGGCTAATAAGGCTCCTAATACCTACTAAGGGTAAAAATAAAAAATGCTAAGCACACTGAAAAAGGAAGAGCATTAAAAGTATTTATTATAGCAGCATAGTCACACAGGAACTGATTATAGACCCATTATTTTAAAACACATACTGTAAGGTATATTACATTACTGTAAGACTAATTACATCCAGTTTAGACAAAGACTTTGGTTTAAGTAGTGGACTGATAAACTGAGTAGCAATGAAACATATATTTATGCAGAAGGAAAGCCCTCTGCATACATCAGGATCCCAATGACCTACAGAACGTACAAGTTTTACATTTTACTCAAAACATTGTCACCTTACTTAATATACTGCATCGCTCTTCTGCTGTACAGCCAAAGTTAACTGGCCAAACAATGAATTGAATGATGAAAAAAGATTAATCAATACCAAAAGTAATCACTAGCTGCAGTCCTAACAATGTTATTATTATACGGCTACATTACTAAAGGAACTGGCAAAGGGAGATCAGCAAGTGTAGTTTGTTGCCTCAGGGACAGAATCTCACAGTGTCTAATACATCACGATGAATAGTCAGAGCAGCCATCATAATATCTAATTACCTTAATTGGACATAACCATTAGTATATCTATAAGCCACTCAGGCCCCCACCGAAAGACATATAAACACAATAACTAATCACATAATATATTAAAATACACATCTCTTACATCATGTGAGCATTTGAAGATTAATGAAGAAAATCTTTCTCAATAGGGCAGACATATACACATGAAAGCATGAAAGCTCACATGTGCATACACGCACACGCACACACACACACACACACACACACACACACACGTAGAGGCAGGTAGAATTCTGTGCTTTGGTCTGCACAGTGTTACATGATGGTGCAGGTGAAGCCGCAGCAGTCTTTCAGAAGCGTAAGTCCAGTTTTAGGGAGAAATGGTGCTGACGTCTGCTGGGATTTGGATGCCACCGATTGATCTTGCAAAGCACCTGATTGAAAAGGAGATGTGAAAGTGAACTCTTATTCACAACAGCATGTTCATGTGAAACCGATCGTTAGCTAGTGGGCTGTAGTAGCCAGCAGAGCAATATCAGTTTTAAATATTGCAGGGAGTAATAGGACAAGAAGGAGCAGCCATAGCAAACTGTTAGATGAAGAGCTGCAGGCTCCTCAGCAAAGCAACCAACTCTTTTTTACTGTACCCTGCTGTACAGTGCTGTGGGCTCTATGAAACCGGATCCTTTAAAATATTTTCTCACTGACTTCTTTATTAAAAAAAGAAATTGGTTTGTTTGGCTTCACTGTAAACAGATTCACCAGCTGTTGTCATAAAAGCTGCTCAGAGTGTCTCACTTGATGTTACCACCAGGAACTACAGGTGTCATCAAATCAACCAGAGAGACATAATGGATTATGATTTAAAAACATGATGCGTTCTAACTGATGCGCTCATCCATAGAGACTTAGGCCAGCCAGTGATTAAAGCTTGCAGCAGACCGGTTCAGCTCCTTGTTTGGATCAGACATCTTTGGTTGAGCCATACATCTGGTGCAAAGATAACAACTAAACTACCGACCTTCATCCTCTTGCTCACAAGTGTCATGAGAGGAGAGAAATGGTGACTGCAGGCTACTAATATTCAACCCACGATTCTTCAGCATTTTTTAATTGGAAGCTTGCACATGATGGATGGTTAGACTCACCTTTTGCAGCCAATGTCTTGGAAAATTTGGACTGTAAGAAGGCTGCCATTTCTCTGTCTTCCTCTCTTTCCCTGTGGAGGAGAATATTACCTTGTTTTTTATTTGTCATGTATGTGGTTCTAAGATTTTGCACATCTTGTTAAATGTCACTGGACTGCATTTGAGAGAAACCAAGGTTACAGGGTGGACTGACAAATCCTTAGGAGAGGATTTTAATCTCTTGTGCGTGGCTTGACTTCACTGCTGCATCGCCACACAATCCTGTCCTCAATCCATTTTCACACGTCCGTTGAATAATAAAGCAAGATGGCCTCTCACAACCCTGCAATCAAAATGTCGCTTAAAGATATTCTGTCAACTGCCTTCTTGTCAGTGGTGACAGCTAATTTAACACACAAACAAATAAACTGAGTGATCATGAACTTATTATTCAGTGTAAATATACAATATCCAAATATACAAGACAAGGGTTTATGAGAGGAGAGCTATGAAGATCAGAGAATAGCTTTTAAAAACTGGATCAAATCAAATAAGTAAATGTCAGTTTTTTTAGCAATAGGTATTGCATAAGGCACTTTCCTCAGTGGAAACATCACAAGGCAAAGTCAGATGGCAGATGTATTGAACTAAAGTGGTTTGGGAAAATCTTTAGACTGATCAATGTGCTGAAAGCTAATTATAAGGTTGAATCTTGAAAAAGTTAAATCACCATAATCTGAAAATTCAGACCTTTAGAACTGCACACATTTAATGAAACCTCTTTGCTCCCTGAAACCTATTGTCTTGTAAACAGACAGCACTGTAATATCTGCTGTGTCTGTGTGTGAGAAGAACACCACTAAGCCAAAGTCCTTTTCAATCACCGGATGTAATAACCTCACCTCAGCCTTTCAAACTCCACATCATCCACGAGGAAGTCTCTGGTCTCTACCAGCTTGTTGATCTGCTGCAGCAGCTCTTCTTCCCTCTCCCTGTCCTCCTTGGACTTGTCCTTGTCTGTTAAACAGTCACATGTCAAGCCTTACATAAAATACAACCGTCACTGAATGTTGTATATGGAAATATATATTAATTGCTGTGAATTGTTTTGGCAGTATATGCTGCTGCATTATGTTTCAGATGGCTTTATTAAAGACTTTATTTCAATTTGTTTATTGTTGTGTATATAGCCAGTAATTGTAACACTGAGTAACTGCATACAGAATAGAACAAGACTACGAGTCTACAACCGGGCTAACTGCTCTGTGAGGCTTCAGTTAGGCGCAGCTAAATGCAAACGTCAGCATGCTACAATGCCCGGTGTTTAGTAGCTATAATGTTTACCGAGTTCACAATCATGGTTTAGCAGGTCAGCATTGTCATGGTCGAGTGTCATAGGCTCACATTTCTTTTTTCTTTTGGAAGGTTGGTGAGATATCACTCAGAGATGAAGTGTGTTCTGTGGTCATTCGTATTTGGTCATAAACCACAGTTTCGAACAAATAAAAGATTTCAACTGATGCCGAGCAGAAAGTCTGGGGTCGCACAAGTTACTACAATTCTTATACTAAATACTTCTCGACTGTACTTCAGCTACTTATCTGTTTACCTGCCACAGCAACCTTCTTCTATATTAGATCTGTCATCTAAACTCAGTGAACAAAGGAATGTGAGTATCTGAATATTTACAGACAGAAACATTTAAAATTCAAGTGCAATATGGGAAAGCCTCGAGAGACACAGTGTTATTTGAAATCTTTATGTGTTTGGGTTGAAAACAGGCTAGGCCTTTTGACGTGAAAAGCTTTCTTTTACAAAGTCATGGTTTTCAATTAAAACCAGCTTATTCTGAAGATGTGTTGAGTCCAATGTTATGGCAGGTAAGTAAAAACACATTGCTACAGTTGGTTGAAGTCTTTTCAATGATTATACAGCAAATGTGGCCCATCCCAAGCAAAATGTCTGCATGTTAAATAAAATATGATACACCGCACAGTTAGACAGTGACGACTTTTTCATTCACCTGGAATTGACACAAGTTTGTGCAGCTCCGTCTTCAGCCTTGTGATTTCTTTGCAGAGCTGTATGTCATCCATCCTGAGAGGAAAAAAAACTGTGAATTGATATTTTGCAGGAATCAGCTGATGCCTGGGTAATAAAGTATAGTTAAACTATAGTTCCCCAAATCCATTTATGTAAAGAATACGTTGACTAAAAGAACTATTTTTCTCTCAAGGGTCTTTACAAACAGAGATTGGATTTTATATGATGGCAACACAGCAATATCCTTACTTTATCTGTGTAAAATAGTATGAGCTTATCAAGGAGAACAACACTGGACTCAGATTTTGGGCTCAGATGATAGTGAGGTCCGTGAGTTTATTAGCTGAAATTACACTGCCACGCTGCCCTCTCTGACTGAATCACACCTGACAGTATCATATCTCATTTCACCGTCTGACTCTGAGGCGCATTTCAAAACATCAGGGCCCACTGTTTCTGTGTGTGTGTGTATGTGTGTGTGTGTGCTGCTATTACAGTGATGGCAAAAAGAGGAAATTTTGAGCTGTTGTTTTAATAAAATAGGTTTCACTTTTGTGTACTTCAGCAGCATATATTTCAGAATGACTCATAATGCTGCCACTCTGGAGTATTTATTTAAAATGTGTTTGCATGAGAGTAGTCTTGTTGATGGCGCAGTCAGCCTAAATGATGGTGCTGCATTAACTGCCTACAGCAGGATTTCAGTAGTAAAACAAATCTAAGGGTCTACAGCCATGCTAGCTGCTCTGTAAGGCTGTACTTATTAGCATGATAACACTAAACATGACCATGCTAACATACCAATGTTTGGCAAGTATAATTTAGTTTTGTGTGTTAGCATGATAGCATTTGTTAATTGGCAGTTATTAAATGTTACTGTGTGTACCAAATTTCATGGCAATGCAACCCATAGTTCTTGAAGCATTTCTGTCTGGACTGAAGTGGTGGACCGACGGACAGACCCCAGAACACGTAAATATGACTCAAAATATTAAATACTAAATACCAATAGGAAAACACATTTGGCATTTAGGAAAATATTAATATATTCACTTTCCTGAGAGTTAGCAGCCAGTCTTAGCATATCTCTCTTATAAATGTCTGGTAAATATAGGGCTACAGCTGGCCAGTTAGCTTAGCTTAGCACAAACACTGGAAACCAGGGGAAGTAGCTAGCCTAGTTCCCTCCAAAGGTAACAAAATCCAACTATCAGCACATCTACAGCTCACTAATTAACTAAATTCCTTGTTTAATTAATGTGAACTGCCAGGCAACTTCCTTTTAAGTTAAAAAGACAAAGCCCAAAATGTTATCCTTTAATAAGCCAACCAGTTACAGATTTACAAAAGGAGGAATGTAAAAGTAATTTGTTTTCACATTATGCTGTTTTGTTCTCCCCGCAATGGCTGAGCTTCAGTTGCTGTCTGTTTTGCAGTTGATATAATTCAACACATGCATGCCTGTGGAGACAAGATGTAAAAACAATCTAGGATTGTGCACCACTTTTTACCCTCTGGATGTGGCTGAACGTGGTTGGAAGTGAAAACATGACGTGAAACTGATACGTGTCATTATGAACCACAGCACTTATCAGACAAGTCATTTTGAAGGCTAGCAGGGCGAAACAATACCCAGAGCAAAAGTCCTTATTCTCTGTTTCTCTGATTGATCACATGGCCACATTATGCATTGCTGGAAAGGAAGGTCTTGGTAGAAAACTGGTGAAATAATTCAAAGCAAGGATGAGAGGGAAAGGAGGAAAGGGCATCTATCGAGATATGATTAAAAAAAAACTAGGCCTGTGTGTGTGTGTGTATGTGCTGGTAGTCTGCGAAGACCTTACATAGCACTGCTGTTTTCTTTTCACACTTTTTGCCATCATGCACATGGCTGCTCCCAGTGTTGTTGGCTGACAGCCATGGTGCATCATCTCTCATTCCTGAGGGGCTGTTAAAAGTATCTTGGTGGATTCAGAATCATATCCCTGTGCAGCAGAGCTTCACTGTATGTGTGGGTGCAGAGGTCCAAACAGTGGAACATCCCATGATAGACGAGAGGTCCTCTTGGGTCTAATGTCTTCACTGTGTGTCGGCATCCAATCCTTTTAAACAAACCAAAATGTTGTCTGTAGAAATGACATGTATGTTCTGTCTTTGTGTCTGTGTTTGAGAAGTATTTAAATGTACTATGTATTGTATGTATTTAAAAGTCCTATTAAAGAAACAGATCTTACATGTATCTCAGCTCTGATTCTCTCCGTACCAGGATGTCTCTTATCCGCTCAATTTTGCACAGCTCTCCTTCAATGTCCTCAACTGTAATTGTGGAGTCAGCCATGGAAATGACATCCTCTGCTGAAAGACAGACAAGACCAAAACATGTTTATTTGTGTCTGATAATCGGAAGTTTCATTTACAGATTTTTCAGATTCAAAGACTTTAAATGTCCGACCGCCACCATCAAACAAACGACAAAAGCATCAAAATGATGTACCTTCTGTAAAGTTAAAATTTGACCAACTTTATTGTGAAAAGTTGAAAGAAATACTTGGTAAGCAGCATCCAAGGAAAACATCCAGATGATTTCAGATAAAACTGAGGCTGGCAACTTGTCCTATAATGTTACATTACTGTGGCTGTTTTACAAGAACCATCACTTTAACAGTGATATCAGCATGTTTTTCTGTTTCCTGTAATACTTCAAAGTAAATTTATCATAATGTTGTAATTTCTGTTGACTTTTCGATTTATGCTTTGGATTATTATTATCCTCAGAAGGGCTAAGATCTTTCTTAAAGTGTGAACAACCTTCACAAATAATTGGTGATGTCATTTGAGAAGTTACCGGGCAGAAAACATGGGCTGTGTCTATAATAAACTGTGTTATAGCAGACATTTTGATATTTAACTGCAGAAAAGGACATGTGTAACTTAACAATAGCAGTCTATTTAAGTGATCCAGTTGCAGGCTCTTGTACTGTGCCTGTTAGTATTATTTACTGGTACACTTAAATGAACCAAGCTTACACCTAGGTTTTTGCTGTAAATGTCTGCTGTGAAAAAGGTTAATTGTTTTTCAGTTCTACCAGTAGAGTCCACACGGGTTCTATGTACTTACTGGTCAGAGACTAGTGAACTGCACTTATTGATCATACAGACAGAAAACCCACAGTAGTATACAGTGATTTATTTTAAGTGGTATTATGATTTAAAGCAATACTTTACAATATGCTTATTTGCTTTCATGATGAGAAAAGTAAAGGGAACAAAAAGATTCTAAAGCTCACTAATTAAGTCATTTTATCTTGTTTGTTTGTTACCTTTGGACAAAGCCAGGCTAGTTTTTCCTTCCCGTATCTAGTCTTTATGCAAAGCTAAGCTAAACAGATTTTGGCTGCAGCTTTGTATTTAACATACAGACAAGAGAGTGGAATAAGTCTTCTCATATAACCCCTCAGCAAGAAAGAAATCCTATATCTGTATTTACCAAATTACTTCACCCATCACTTAAAAAGTGATGGGTGAAGTTTTGAAACTTGATTTAAAGCTGATTTAAACTTGATTCTGTAGTGATACTGTCCATCATTTCATTGCACCATAGGTGCAAAATTGCTTAATTTAAGTAATTAATTGCACTCATTTTGTCCAATTAGTCACCTGTCTTGGTTATCAAGGCTCTCAAGAGACTCTTGTGACACATAAAGGGACAACGAAATTGTATAATTGAACAATTTCAATTTCGAGGCAAACACAAAAAGCACATGAAATATACTCTAATCATTAAAACTGTCCTGGATCAAATTCACCATGCTGCTGATCTTATCAGAGCTCTGTGGATCCACCAGCATCCCCCCACCCCCCCACCCCCTGCCAGGAGCGATGAGTCATCTAGCAGAGCTTGGATTGGCTTTTAATTACCTGACCTTGTGTGAAAAGACATTACAATAATCATAATCACTGGAGATATCAGGGCTGCACAAACACACAATCTCCCCAAACCCACACCTGTATCTCGTGATTCTACAACTTTATACATCTGCATGTGTATTATTACATACCACATGTACACTCATACACATGAAATATGAGCGGCTAATTTGGTGTTTTAGTGTTGAAACAGCCTGCATGTGTTCTTTTCCAAGCCCTCTGACTGGCTCCAGGAATTTAGTCAACATTGTTCTTGGCTTTTAATTTCACACTGTCACTTTTCATTTTCCTTGTTATACAGCAGGTTTGTGTGGAAATACAGTTTGTATTATTTACTGGCTGTGTGTTTTACTTCTCAAGTCCTGCATGCCATTTCAGTAGATCATCTTTAAGGCACTGTTAAAGTCAACCATGTGCTGTATAATACATACATACATAATTCAATAATAAATGTGTGCCTGTATGTGTTATTGTAATAAATGGTTGCACATGTGATATTACAGAGAATGTGTTTATATAATGGGAATAACAGATAACCAAGAGCTGAGCCCTGAGGAACGCCAAAAATAAAATCTCTTAAGTTAAAGTAATCAATTTAAAGATAAAAGGTGCCTCCAGGTGACAGTTTCCTAGGATTTTTTCAGGAAAGAACTATGTAATTTGGTATTAATTATAGCTAAATGTATTAATTATTAATTTATTAATTATTAATTATAGAACATCTTTATTACTGGAATCTTTATTCTTCATATACGTTTTATGCTTGCCCCTGGAAACATTTTACACTTCTGCATGTTCAGCTGACCTGCTGTGTGCTGACAGTAAGATTCTCTAGATCTCTCCATTCACCGAAATTATAACTGAAATCATTAGCTGATTAAACGATTTGTGGTGTAAAAAAAAAAAAAAAGTGTAAGCTACTTTTCTTTGTGGCAGTAAAGTGAATATCTGTATATGTTGGACTATTGGTTGGACAAAACAAGCAATTTGATGGCATCAGTGTGAGGGAATTGTCACTATTTTTTGCCATTTTTTTGACTAAACATTTAATTCAATAATGAAAATAACATTTGATTGCAGTCCAAATTGGTTTAAACTACAATCACTGTGTGCATTTATATATAATAAAAAAAAATACATTTCAGGAAACATCTGTGAAACTGACATTAATGATTAATTCTTTATATTGTTAGAATTGTATTTTTGGCAGTGTGGAAAAAGGCTCAAACCTAGACCCTACATGTAGGGAAGGTTTAGGACAAATACACTGCTTTTAAATGAATAATTAAGTTCCCAGAAAACATATTTGTACTGTTAAATAAATTAAATATGTTTTCCTGCAGAAAAATCTTCCCCACCTCAACATAATTAGGCTACTGGGGGTTCACAAGCCTAAATCCCACCCCGACACATTGGCCCCCGACCTGTCTGCAGCCCTGCTGACAGATAACTTCAGCATGCTCACTGTGAATGTCTGCAGGGACCTGTGGCTCTCTGCTGAAAGTATAGGTGCATTGTGACACATCCCCTTCTCTCGCTGATTACTCCATACTGTACCAAAAGCCAAGCATGCATCCAGCTCAGTTTAAAGACAAAAACGTGTGCAGTGGACGCTTCTCAAAACTCACTTGATTTTTCTGTCTCTCCGTCCACCTGCGTCTTTTCCAAAGAGCCGTACTGTTTAGAGGATTTTCTCTCTTTTTCCATATTCTTCAAAAAAAAAAAAAACACTCCTTTTTTCAGACACGTTAAAAAAATATTTGTGCAGCCTGGAAATGAATACTAAAAGCTATCGACCAAGACCGTGCAGCACTGACGCGACGCGTGAGCGAATATAACGGGAGGAGAGCTGCCGACAGATGCTGAACCGAGTCCCACAGAGGCGGATCTGAGCACCGAGGAGCTGAGGCAGCTCATGTCCGCTGTGAGGCGCCACCTGCTGACAGACCCGCACTATGACACACAGCAGCAGCCCGGTGATGACTAGCCTACAGTACCTGGAAAATTTAATTTAAACAGTGGTGGAAGTGGTAGTCATATTCTTTACTATTCAAAAAGTAGCAAAACTACACTGTTTAAATACTCTAACTACAAGTAAAAGTCCTGCACAGGAGTAAAAGTATTATCAGCAACATTTCAAAAGTACTCACTGTGTAGTAAAATGGTCCCTGTCGCACTAATTTTAAATACTTTATATAGGCCTACTGTTGGGTTTAATCTATAGTTTCATGTGACAACCAACGCATCTCTAAAAAGTATCAGAAACAGCCCTGTTTTCAGCTTTGTGGCGATGCATTTTTCAGCTAACCAGATGTTTTTAAAGATAGTTAATTTAGTTTAAGAAGTAAGAAGGTTTTCTAAACCCATATACTATCCTTCTGGTTATCAGAGACATTCAAATTCAAAATCAACAAATATGGAGTTACGTGGTTCTCACTGGACAGGAAGGGGATGGAAGACTGTAATCTGAAAAGTAATGAGCAGCTAAAGCTGTCAGATAAATGTACAATACAAAGAGATAATAATGAGATTCAAAGCAGAAAACTGCATGTGAAAGTCAAGCGTAGACATCCTTCCTATACGCAATTTAATTAACAACATAAAAGACCAAAGGATTAAAATCAAACAGACATCTGCCTTTATAATGGTCTGCTGCGCTGTAACCACTACAACAGCACCATCCACAGGAGAATCGAGCTGTCATGAATTTTCCATCCCGCCTGACTGATTTCAGTTGTAAGCGACTGGGGACGACTTGATTTCATGCCGCCAGATGTTCCGGTAGTGCAGCCTATGTCTATCAGCAAAGTGTGTTTAAAGCAAAGAGACTCGTGTCTGGAGGAATTTCTCTGGAATCACATGATTCGGATCTAAAGCAAACATTTAATTCTGGCTGCTGATTTGACTTCATATGAATATTTATTTATTGCAAACACTCAAGAGGAGCTCATGCTGGAGTCACACATCAGCTGCTCCTGCTATACAGGGGGGCTGATTCTTTTAGCAGGATTAGTTTAGTCTTCACATTACTCAGGTCTGCAACAGGTTGAAGACTTGCACATCAACATAGACATATAAACTTTGATGACACCAAAACCTTTGGGACAAAATAAATCACATAAAAGAGCACTTATCTCAGTATTAATTTGACCTCACTGGATACAATTACAGCATTTGTTATCCACGTATAGCATTTCTAACTTCATACATCTTCAGACATTTGTTGAAAGGGAACGCACTGACTGAAGGGCAGACTTATTTGCCAAAAGGTCAAAATGGGCCATTTGACATGAGGTACAGGGTGGGCAAACACTTTGCAACACAGATTAAACAAACACATCTGCTCATGCGTGCATAACACGCTAATCTTACATTGCTAAAACAAAGTCTGCAGTGGCTTTAGCGCTAGATAAACAGACTGGGTTTGGTGAAACAAGTCCAGTTCAGCCTCACCTTGTGCACACGTCTTGTGTTTACACAGAGAGAGGCTTCAGTTAGAGGCGTCACTGTTTCTATTGTCATGACACCTGCGCTGCTGAGCTTCCCTTGTGTTAGTGAGTCCTTCTTCTGCCCACCCATAATCCTGCAGCCTTGTTTGCTCTATGCAAATGTTCATTTGTAAAGGCTCAGGTGGCCCAGAGATGAATCCCACCAGTACAGCAGACGCTTGCAGACTAATTAAACGGCAAGACAGATGGGATGCCGCAACACTGAATTCTGGAAAATGTTATGAGCAGTAATGAGAGTAAAAACTCAACAATTGCATAATTTCAATTGAACCTGTCAGTGTAGGAAATCAATTATCCTGTTTTGGCCTATGCTGCTTGATGATAAAGAGTGACATGAGCGTAACTGAGAGTGCAAATCTGTTGGGGACTGATAATACTTATTTCCATACTGATGGAAATAAGATGAGAAATTATTCTAATATGTTCTATGATTTTGGGAATGTAAATCCCTTCTATCTGCTGCACTATGTTTAGTGTTTTGTACGCTCACAATGTGGAGTTCAGTAGTTTCAGTGGTTTATTCTCTGTCCATAGTTGTTATTACTTCTGTCGTTTTCCAGTGCCTTATCCAGCCAGTCTCTCTCCTGTTCAGACTCAGAGTCACTGGCTTCACTTGCATCAGCCGCCAAAAGGCGAGAATAGTTAATCCTGCGCTGGCGAGGGGCTTTCCACTGGAGCAGAGGCAGACACACACACCACGACATCACACACACTGCCACCCCTCTGAACAGCCACGTCAGCCCAAACCTCTGCGCCACAAACCCTCCAGCAAAGCTCCCCAACCCGCTTCCCAGGTGTAGGGAGAGTGCACTGTAGATCCTCCACACACTCCTCTCAGCCCCCGGCGTGGCGACATCCTCACACTGGACCTTCACGGCCCACCAGAGGGCTCCACTGCTGAAACAGCTCAACAACTGAGCAGGCAGTGCAGCCCATGGTCCCCAGAGGAAGGAATAATGGAAGCACTGCAACCCGAGACTCGCAGCCCCCACAGCGAGAACCTTTCCTGGGCTGAGGAGCTTGGACACTTGGCCGGCCAGCAGAGGGAAGGCGGCCTGGGAGAGCAGGCCGAGGGCTAGAGACAGCCCCATGTGCAGCTCGCTGCTCCCGTGATCCTGCATCTGCCACAGGAGGAAGTTATCCACGGCCGAGCTGGCTACCCCGACCAGCAGGGTGGTGACTGCACAGAGCAGAGCGCGGGGGGAGCCACGCACCAGCTGCGCAGCTTTCAGGAGCCCGTTGGCCCGGTCTCGCTTCTTATTCAGGTAGAGAGGGAGGTAGGTAGCCACAGGCAGGGCCAGAGTAGCCACACCAGCATAGCAGTAGAAATGCACTGCGCTCCTAGGGGTCTGATCGGCTATGAGACATCTTATCTGACTGACCAGCAACCCCGCTCCTCCAACACCGCACGCTGCTCCGAGTAAACCCCACACCTTGATGCTGCTGTAGCGGTCCGCAGCATCCGCAAAGTCTAGATATTCATACAGGCCGTCGTCTGCCGTCCACTCCAGCGGGGCTGACACAGACTCCCACACTGACACAGTGATGAGTATCAAAAAGAAAAGCTGGTGATGAGTGTCCATCACCTTCAGGCTGCCCAGAAAGCCAAAATGGCCATCCTTCTCCTCTGTCTTTTCTCCTTCTCCTCCTGACCCTGATTGGAACATGGATCTCTTATTCCTTACCGGAGTTGCCACAGGGCTGGTGGTCTGGTGCAGGACGGTTCCACTGCTCAGTTCTGCAAGACTGTCGTTGACCACCACTGATACGTTCTCTTGTGACAGCGGAGGATGATGATCATCATCATGCTGATAAAGTGAAGGTTTGCTGGTCACAACAGGAGCAGATTTATTATCACTGACACCAGACTGAGAAACAAGAGCTGTGTTGATTATAGGGCGAGTACTAGTCGATGATGTGGTCAGTCCAACGCTGCTCATGAGCAGGTTACCACCTAGACTTTGGGTTGGACTGCTGCTCACATCAGACATGTTGCAGGTGGCGGTCTGTGGGCGCACATCTGCAGGTGGGATGATCAGCAGAACCAGAGCGACCGCTACCGAACACACAAGAGAGCTGTTTATCACCACTCGCCTCTTGTTGTAGTGTTTGGAGAGCAGGCTCGTCACGGGGCTCCAGACCAGCGCTATGAGGTGCTTAGTTCCCATGACGAAGCCTGTCATCACAGGGGTCAGACCCAGCTGTCTGAAGTACAGTGTGAGGAAGGGGAGCAGGCAGGCTCCGGCACAGGAGCACAGGAAGTTAAAGGTGCCGGCGAGAGCCAGGGCTCGCTTGACGTCAATCTGCTTGTTCCTCTTCATGACAGCGCAGCTCACGGTCTCTGTCACACAGAGCACCTGGTTGGATTCAAACAGACAGAGAGACGATAAGTTTCCCTGATAAAAGAAAAAGGATTGCCAACTCATCACTCTCCATTTTGAGTGACCGTAAAGGCTGGTGTTTCTCCACTCTTTTATTCAGGTTTCTCCCTTTGATATGTCCCCCATCTTTATATATAAATATGAATAAGATTTACAGTCAGCAGATCTCGAACCAGGTAGGTGTAAGGTAATGCTCTCCACCACCAGCACCATAAAACCAAATTATATAATATAAACATTCATCTTCAAATGTATTTAGTGACGTCTTTAATATCATGTGTCTAACTATGTTTGTTTTCTGTGGTACTCAGGTCTCTCTTGCAAAGGAGATCTTGATCTCAATTACATTACGTGATTACATAAAGGTTAGGGAATATCTTGTCTTGTTCCACAGACTTGGCAAGGAGCACTGAAGCCGTTCTGGAGGCTCATGGTGTGGTCATCTGTGTATATACAGTATATATACACACATACAATGCAGTTATTGTGGTAAAATAAATGCACATATGTCAGTGTGTGTCATGCTTCCTGTCCACTGAATTGTGTTTTGTTTGACTTGTCACCTTTATCATTCAAGTGTTTAAAAAAGTAGAATATACGCTCATGTACTTCCTTGTAAATCTCGTATGGATACGGCGTTATATAAACTTATTTGCGCAGATGATATTGGCCGAATGGCGCAGACAAATAGGCAGGCTATACAAATATCTTAACTTTAAAACGATCATCATAAGTAATAAAACCATCGTATTGTTCTGTAACAACCAGGAGCAGCAACCAGGAACAAGATGACCAGTCACACCTGTCAGGCTGAAAACACCCACCTGTCACTGCAGGATATCAGGACGTGGAGTACAAGTCCACGTCACGTCAAGTTAGTAAGATGAGAAAAAAAACACAAATTAAAACATTTACCTTTTGACATTTGCTGGCACAAAGTTCTTTAAACTTTTCTACCGCTCATTTCCCGCCTCGAAATCCTGCATTCCATCCACGATTTGGTTACTTTTGCGTTTGGAGCGGAGAACACCTGCAGCCGTCTGGCAGGTGGACCCACTCAACTGTATCTAGGTTTTACACCTGGGGAGCGATTCACACAACTACAGCGCCCTCTAACGGTGCGGATGCCTCTGTGCGTGCTGGTGCAGATCGTCGCAGTAAGAAAACCCACCCAATGAAACAGAATGAAAAATTATTTTTAAAAGTTCAGCTTCTCTCGCTTGATATGAATCGCATTATATTTTGTAAACTGAGCACAAGTCAATAATAATAAACACATGCGGTGCGCTGAAAAGAAAAGCGTCGTCCATGTCAACTTTCCTTGTTCTGATAAAAGTCTTTCACACAGGACAAACACATTCAGTTGAAGGTTAGTTTATTTTCAACACACATCATGAATTCATGTCACGTGGTTTTCATCCTTATATCTGCCCCCTCATTTCAGACATTTGTCACAATAATTAATTTAACAACTCAGCAGATTAATTTTCCTATGAGCAGCAGTACAAGAAACATTGATACAATAAAGGTGACATTATACAGGCTTAAGCATGATGCATGGCTTATGATGACTTATCTTTTGACTGCCCTTTATCTGAAAACTACCTAGTAACTATAGCTGTTAAATAAATGTAGTGGAGTGGAATTGAGTATTTCCCTTTGAATTTTGAATTGTAGTAAAGCAGAAGTATTAAGCAGCATAAAATGGAAACACTTAAGTATAAGTAACTCTACTACTTAAAAACAGCACATGAGTTAATATACTTAGTAGTAGTAAATACAACATAGTAAAAGTGGTATTTTACACTGGTAGTTAGATGCAAACATCCACATTGCAAACTGCATCAAATCATCATGCAGTGGATTAGTGTCACTGATGCAGCATGTGTTTTGTTCTTGTATTATACATAGTTAACACAATAAAAAGTATCTTAAGGGCTTAACATTACAACCACAAATTCATTTTAGAATTCAATAAAAAATGTTGGAAAACACTTTATTTTCAACCCCCTTCTTTAGCATTATAAGCAGTATATACACATTTAATACATATATTAATTATTATAACACATTAAAATGTATTTGTAAACACACCTGGGGACATTTGAAGAGTTTTAATTATTATAACTGTGTTTTACTATATTGTCATTCATTATCATTTTATACAAACATTCACTTAGGGGTGAACAGGATGAGTTAAAGTTGTTGACAAATACATTATAAACACTAACAGTATCTCACAAAAGTGAGTAAACCCCTCACTTTTTTGTAAGTAATTGATTACAACTTTTCATGTGACAACACTAAAGAAATGACACTTTGCTACAATCTAAAGTAATGAGTGTACAGCTTGTACGTATAATAGTGTAAATTCACTGTCCCCTCAAAATAACACATCACCCAGCCATTAACGTCTAAACTGCTGGAAACAAAAGTGAGGACACCCCTAAGTGAAAATGTCCAAATTGGGCCCAAATAGCCATTTACAATTATATTGTAGTGTGTGTAAATTATTTATTAAATGTTTATATGAGGTGCTTACAAATGCTTAATGAACAATGACACCAAATTTGTGATTGGCATTATTGTGTTATATGCACACATGAACTAGACAGCTCATGTCCCTTCAGAGGGTCACACCACTGAAGGTGTTGATTGGCAGTGACAGGTCTTTGTCCAGATATCTGCTCAACGGCAGCCCTCCCTCGCTGCTGACATCAAACCAGGACTGGATGCTGCATCCTGGGTCCAAGCATGGAGAAATTTCTACCCTGTAAAGGAATGACAGCACACCGTGTCACACTTTAAATTTGCTCGAGGTGAAAGAGAACATGTGAAATTGAAATGTTGCAGTGTCATTAATGACCTTCGGACATCAGTGTATGTCCTGCGAATGTCCTTGTCCAGGCACACTGAGAGTGTTCGCTGCTCTATCGTTCTGAAACTAATGTTTTGTGTTTGGATCTCCTATAATCAAAAAAGAAAAGGTTTAGAAAGCTTAACGAGGTCCAGCTACAGGACTATTACTACTGTATTATTTCAAATAATAATAGCGATTATGATGAAACATGATCAAATTTGCCTATATTCCCAAGTCGAAATAAAAAGCTTCTTACTGTGTTGAATACTGGGTTTAAACTGTTGAACCTGACAGTGAGGTAATTCTCACCTAGAAAAAGTGACAAGGATTACTCCAAATTTTTTCACCTCTGTCAACTAAACATAAATACAAATCAAAAGGCAAACCTGATGTTACTGCTGCTGGCTCAGATGTAATCACCACACCACATGTCATGGGTGCCTCTCCCTTTACAACTTCTCGTTTGCTTAGAGAGATCTGTTGAGGATGTAAAAGTTAGCCCAAATTCTGCAGTTGATGCTAATACTGAATAGAAAGTCTTACAATATTAATTAGGGCGATTAATAACGAGTGTACCTTTGTGTAACTGACTGAGATGACTGCCCCAAAGACTTCCACTGCTGAAGTCCTTCTGCGTGAAGAGGGCTTCCCTGTCAAAGACAACACCTTCACTTTATGTAGCAATAGGCTAATGTTAGCCCAGTTGTAGCAGTACCCATTCACTCTCTCTCTCACACGTGCACACACACGCACACCCACACACGCACGCACACACACGCACGCACGCACACACACACACACATACATGCACGCACACACACACAGAAAGAAAACATACTTAAGCTGCTTTCTTTTAGGTGTCTAAAATCGGGGATGTCTGCCTCTAGATGGGACACGAACACCTCTTTCACCACAGCTCTCCCATCACAGCTGGAGCAGGTCATCTAAACACATGCTGCATTTAGTTAAATCAAGAAGTACATATGCAGCATCGATATATATATATATTATTGACACTTTTGTTTTGAAACAGTTGGCAGGACTCTACTCTGCAATACACTGCATTTCAATCAGTAACGGAAAAGGTGTCTTTACTCAAAGGGGCTATATATGGTTTTTTCAATTAAAAGAATTACTTTTTTATTGCCTGTGTGTGATGGGGTTGTAATCTCACATAAAAATGATCCAATTGCTGTTTTTTTTTTACCTCTGGCCAGTGTTCCTATTCCTATGTGAAGATTCGGGATTGGATTTTCCAGGGAATCCATTGGTTGTGAGTGCATGCTCGAGCCTCTCGTCTGTTAAATCTATACCATACACACAACAACATCAAGTCCACTAAAACCATAAAATGACCGGCTCCCAGCAAAACACAGACTCCAACACAAACTCCACATAAGGATGAACCAACAACAAAGTTTTATGTGCTGGAGCCCTTCAGGCCAAATGAGAATCAGATCAACTTTGGGTGAAAACACAGTCAACATCAGAAAGCCTTGAATCACTGAGAGACCTCCGCTTTGTTTTGGAACCGACAAAACCGACACACAGTTGGTTTAAACCCATTCAATTTAGATTTATTGACAATACTCAGGTATTCACAGCTTCTCCATCTCTCAATCGCTGCGCAGCGCAGAACAACAACAAAGTGGAAGATGCATTCACTTCAGTAACCTTACTTACTGCTGTTTAACTGTTATAAAGTGTGGCAACAATCTCATTATAATATTCAGTCTAGCTCACTAACATTTACAGTAGCTGTGCTAACATTGCTGAGCCTCCGGTGAAAGATATACAAAAAGTTATTGAAAAGCAGCTGGCGAGCTAACACCGATGCATCACGTCAGCTAAATGCGGTCAATGTAACATTATCATGTTACAAGCATCGCTTTGTTCAACTTCAAGCTGATAAAAATACTACTGTAACGTTGCAGTGGGAGTTTACATGAGTTTCCAGCATGTGGAGTGTGGAGCTGTCTCCCGGTGTTTTGGTCTGGTTTGTGTGTGACCGATTTTGCTCACTCATGAGTTTGAGCACGTGGATGAGCAATGCTGTGCCATTCATCATAAACACTTACATGTAACACTTTTATTTAGTTAATGTTACACTGGCTTGAGAGTATGGGGGGTTGTTGACTTACAGTAGTTTATAAGCTGTCATTGATTGCATTGCACATTACATGGCTATGCTCTGTAAGTGAAAAACAGATTACAGTTACAGAATACCTTATAGCTAAGCAGCTTTATCAGCAGCCTGGTTTGAACGCAGCAGGTGATACAACATTCATTATACGTCTCCCACGTAAGTCTCCCACGAGAGACTTGAGACTTGACTTGGACTCTTGCTCAAACACTTGTGAGCATCTCTGACACCAGGTAGCAAAAAACTGCACCGCTAGTGGCCGCTGAAAACTATATATAGCCCCTTTAAAGCTGCATCAATTTATTTTGTTTGGCCACTAGGAGGTAGCAGAACAATCTTAAAAAGTAGTTTATGCGTTTGTCACCTTATAAAGGTCTTGTAAAGTCTTGTGTTATTGAGCAACATTAGCATTCAGTTGAAGTCATGCTTCTGTTCTAGTACAAAATATACTCTCCTTTTAACTCTGTTTTTGGTCTCCACCAAATAAAAATATAAGGATGTACAACTGTATTCACCAACTCGTCTGCCATTTGGCACAGGTCAGGTGGTGTATAGAGAATTTATCTGAGTAGAAAACAACTGTCTGATGCGACTTGAAACAAGGTTGAGTAGTGAACAGGTGTTTAAGGACATTTAATCATTTGTTATTATTAAGAATAATTGATTTGTGCCACTTTAACTAAAAGTAGCACCACAATATAGAAACACTCCATAAAGTCTTTAACAAAATGCACTGCTACTGCTGTGATAATGTGGCGTTTCTGCTGCCCTTAGTCTTCAACATTTGCATGCGTAACACATTTTAATATCTACACATGACAGCTGCACTGTACCTTAACCGAGTAGAGCGGCAGGTTAACTGGCTGTGTCCCACAGCGAAGGTAGTAACACAGGGTGTCCAGTAGGAAGAGGTTTTGCATGGATGGCTGTCTGTGATGAGAGTGCTGTGGTAGACATTACAGAAGGAAGAAGGTACCATATGAACACCCATTCTGCTGCTCTTGTGTTTTAAGCTAAGCTAATGGCGTGGCACTATGGATGGCAATATCTGTCGCTCAGTTGGC